TTATTTTTTTTAAAGACTTTATTTCTTTATTTGACAGAGAGAGACAGAGCGAGAGAGGGAACACAAGTGAGGGAGAGGGAGAAGCAGGCTTCCCGCTGAGCAGGGAGCCCGATGTGGGCCTTGATCCTGGGACCCCGGGATCATGACCTGAGCTGAAGGCAGATGCTTAACGACTTAGCTACCCAGGCGCCCCAGGATTTTATTTATTTATTTGAGAGAGAGTGAGAGTGAGCGAGAGAGCTCAAGCAGGATGAGCAGCAGAAGGAAAGGGAGAAGGAGGGAGATCATGACCTGAGCCGAAGGCAGACGCTTAACTGACTGAGCCACCCAGGTGCCCCTAAAATTCATTTTATAACATATATATTTTAGGGGTGCCTGCATGGCTCAGTCGGCTGAGTGCCCGACCCTTGGTTTCAGCTCGGGTCATGATCTCAGGGTCGTGAGATCAAGCCCTGTATTGGGCTCTGGGCTCAGTTGCGAGTCTGCTTGAGATTCCCTCTCTCCCTCTCCCTCTGCCCCTCCCCTGATCTCTCTCTCTAAAATAAATAAAAATTTTAAAAAACAACATATTAATCTGTAAATAATGCATATCTTTATTACTCATCTGACCATATCTGATCCACCAATAGAATACCTAGATACATGTGATAATAATTAAATGTAGTCATTTTGATGTTTTTCTAATTGTGTTGTTTTACACATTTTTTTTTTAAATTTTGTTATGAGGGTAGATTTGTCAAGGTATGAGTAAAGAACATCCTTAACAATCCATTAGCCTGATTAATGGCTTTTTAAAATTTAGACCTATGATATGTAAGCCTCTATTTTTACTCTTGCATTGGGACCCTGCAAATGTCTACACCTTCTTTTCTCTCCCTGGTGAATCAACTCCCTGGTGGTCAGCTGATTGTTACTTCCTAGTTCACTGAAAAACAGAAGCAACAGAAGAAAACTTTCTCCACTTCCCACTACATCTCCCTACCTACCTACATTTCTGCCCTTAGATTCTGTCTTCCCTCCAGGCACCAAATCTAAGTGTCTATCCAAGTCCACCTCCTCTACTTGTGCACTGAAACCCAGGCCCTCTCATTCAAGGATACCACTCCTACCACTCCTACAATTACGACTTTACCCCCTTGTCTCCTCCCTCTCTACTTAGTCATTCCTATGAGCATATAAAAATACTAGAATATACCCATTAAAAAATCCTTCCTCTTGATCCCACATCTCCTTCCACATTATGCTGTATTTCTTTCCTTCCCTTTAGGGCAACATTCTTTGAAAGAACTGGCTGTGCTCTTGTTCTCCTCTTACTCACCTACCACTCTCTCTTGAACTCTCTCCACTTCTTCCATCAAGAGGTGGATTTATGAGATCTATATCTCCTCCCTATAAATCTGAACAGGTTTGTGACTCTCTTGTAACCAATAAAATGCAATGAAGCCATGCTGTCTGATTTCTGAGGCTAGCTCTAAAAAGTGATGCACCTTCTGCCCTTTTCACTGCAACACTTGCTTTCAGAGCCATGAGGGCCATGTAAAGAATTCTAACTACCCCAATGTTACCATGCTGTAAAGAAGCCCAAGCTACATGGAGAGGACTTGTGTAGGTATTCCGGCCAACAGCTCCAGCAGAGATACAGCTGACAGCTAACATCAACTACCAGAAGATGTCTCCAGATGATTCCACTTCAGTAGTTAAGTCACCCCCAGTCTTCCCAGCTGAGGATCCAGACATCACCAAAGACAAGCTGTCCTTACTGTATCCTTTCTGAATTCCTGACAGCATTCCACAAGCATAATAAAATGGTTGTTTTATACCACTAAGTTTTGGGTATTTTAGGTGGCAATAGTAACTGGGACAGTGTGTGTGTGTGTGTGTGTGTGTGTGTGTACATACATATGTTCATATATTTCCTTGCTTGGTTTGTGGACAGGGCCTAGAAACAATGGCATCTCTGTAGCAGTAAGGACATCTAGCACCTAGATCTTGGTTTCCAAGTGCCATCCTGTTAGAAGAAGCCAGAAGAAGACATGGTTGATTCCTGGGCTGAGGCAGGAAAAGTACAAATTGAAAGCATGGATAACCTCTTGCAGAGAAAGTAAGGAAGTGCTCAAATAATGTTAAGGAGATTTCAGAAGGACAAGGGATCCAGCTTGAAGGGCTATTTCATTTGCCAAATTTGGGGTAATTTGTGCATCAAAATAATAATGATAGTAACCTATTATAATTCATTAAGTAAAATAGAAGTCCACAGGTTCAGACAATAAATATGATAGTAATGGATTACAGTTTATTGAGTAAGATAGGAATCTATGAGTCCATAGGATATCAATGGATGAATAAATGAGGAAGAAGGGAATGCTCTCTTTTATAGCAGATTGTTGACTAAAAGTTGAAGAAGAAATGATGGAATTAAAAATCGGTTTTTAATAAACATTATCATGGCAGTTATTCTAATGGGGGTTATCAATGGATGCTAAGGCAGATAGATGGAGATCTGATGATGTAGCAGATACTTAGGAATTACAAAGAGACAAGTGGTGAGTTTATGGAGGAGAAACCTGCCAAACTGGGTTGGTAATACAGGGGTAAGAAGGGCTCACCTCCTGCACTTCCTGATGTGATACACTGAAAAGGACAAAACATCATTTTTCTCCTGCCTTTATGTGCCATTTGGGTTGAAGGACATCTTGTAGAAATGAAAAGCCTGTGCTCTTTATTTTTTTTTACGATTTTATTTATTTACTTGAGAGAGAGCTATCAGAAGCGGGGGGGTGGGGGGAGGTGGGGAGAAGCAGAGGGAGAGGGAGGGGAAAGAATCTCAAGCAGACGCCATGTTGAGCATTGAGCCCAATACGGGGCTTGATCTCATGACCCTCATATGACCCTGAGATCAAGACTTGGGCCGAAATCAAGAGTCGGATGCTTAACAGACTGAGCCACCCAGGTGTCCCTGGATACTAGAGTTCTTGATACTTTTCTGTAAACTTGAAATTGTTTCAAAATTTTTTAAAAAATCCCATGAATAGGGCGCCTGGGTGGCTCAGATGGTTAAGCGTTTGCCTTCGGCTCAGGTCATGATCCCAGGGTCCTGGGATCGAGTCCCGCATCAGGCTCTCTGTTCCTTGGGAGCCTGCATCTCCCTCTGCCTCTCTCTCTCTCTGTCTCTCATGAATAAATAAATAAAAATATTTAAAAAAAAATTAAAAATCCCATGAATAGACATTACAGAAGACCTTGGTGCTGAACCTGTCATGTGGAAGGAAAGATAAAAGTGTCTGTATAGCCTTACTGTAAACTTGACTGAGACATAAGTGAGGGTATCAGAAATTAATACATTATATTAACATAGCACTTCACAATGTACAAAAAATGAAAATAAACAAAAAAAGCTCCTTATGTCATTCTGTGAGGCAAGAGATTTATCAATTTTATAAAAAAAAAAACAACTGAAGGAAGTTCAGGTGACTTCCCCAAGGTCACACTCACAGACAAAAGATAAACTGAGGCATATTAAAAATTTTAAGCATTTATTTGAAGAAAAACAGATTGGAATGGGGCAGCACCAAACCAGAAGTGCTTAGTCATGCTCTGTAGACAGGAGCCAGGGGAAAGACTTACACAGATCCAGTGCAGAAGTGAAGAACGGCAATTATTTGGCCGGCTATATAGCTTAAAGCCTAGTTGGCTGTGACTGTCCTAAACGTTTTGATTTCCTAACCTTGAGGAATTTACAGACTTAGATTTTGATTTGCTAACATAGGCCACCACGCCATCAGCGCCACCTCAGTCTAATGGCCTCTTTGTTCAATTAATTTAACACATGTGCTCACTTGGGCAGCACACACACTAAACAAGAATTTAACACACCTCATAAGTAATTAGTTTGACCCCATAGAGTTTTTTTGACTCTTAATGCAACCCTCCTGTGGCAACAGCAAACAATAACATAAGTTGACTGTAAACAAAATTGTGACGACTTGTGTACCTTTTTGGGAGTGAACAAAGTCTTCCTATTAAGGTAGGTAAGAGACCCTAAAGGCTCCAGGTATGAGGTCCACTACCACACACTGCTTCCCCGGCTAGCTACCCTATCCCCCACTGCCCCACTTATCCCAGGGGGTCCTCAGGGACATGGGCTTCAATTTCTGTCAAGGACCTTCCAGGCCGTGCCTGGGGAACAGGGCCAAGAAATGGCCTTCAACGCTTGCCCCGACGACAACCTCCTGGACGACATTCCCAGCCAACAACTCTTTCTCAGGACCGTTCACTCTCCTTCATTATTGCCCCAACACTTAAGTCCCAATTACTCACTCGGGCCCCGCTGACCAATCACGATCTTTCTCTTTTTATAGACCTTCCCTTGGGCTCCTGCGGGTGCGATTATAGCTGTCCTGTGGAACGCAGGGCCCGGAAATTAGGAAGAGAGCGGTGTGGCTTTCGCCATCGCATGCTCAGCGGCCCGCAGACTTGGGGGAGAAGAGGTCCTGTGCAGCCTCCAGCCCGCCACTGCCCTTTCCCACCCACCTGGGTTAGGCGAGCCCTTCCCTTAGGCCTTTTCTCACCACCCACTGTAAAGCTGGAATGGGCTGACAGTGGCTCAACCGTAGCGTACTAGCTAGCTCCGCTTGCTCACTCTCTATCTGTAGGGCCCCAAGACATCGGGCCCTGAGCCCAGAGACCTAGTATGACTTCAGCAGTTCCAGCTTGCCTGTCTCTGTGTTGGGCCTTCAGTTGCCAGGTCCCAGTTATAGTAAAGGCGGACGGACTTTATGAATCATCTAGTCCAGACCATTCACATTGCACTCCATGATTATATGATTGTTTCAAAGGCTCAGAGGCTCTTTTCTCCTTTCTCTCTCTTTGGTGGGGGAATTAGGGTCAAGCCCGACAGGTGCAGGGCTTGCTGCTGCCATGCCCCTTAATCCTGGTGTCGCTGAGCAAGGGCTTCCCTCCCAGCCTCCCTGATCCAGTCAGCTGTCAGACTATGATTAAGTATGGTGGATGAGGAGGCTGATGTGGCTGAGGAGGCTGTGTTCCTGGCACTTGCCCAGGGTCCCTGTCCTCCGAGGAGTCCCCTGCGCTGGGCGTTAGACAAGGCCTTCATTATCTTCCTGGCCCTCACCCTCACACTCCTGACACTGGAGGCTGTTCGTCCGCTGCTGTGACTGCTGCCATGAACAGAGTTTGGGGACCGGCCCCTGAGAACACCTTAGAAGGAGGAGCTGGAATTGCAACCACCTTTCCCATAAACATTCTCTTCCCCTGCTACAGAGGTGAGAGGGGAGGGAAACCGGACTGTTGGGGGCTATGGAGGGGACACTGGGAGAGCTCAGAGCCGCTGTCTTAAATTTTTTGCACCTACGCTCTGGAAAATCATTTTGAAAAAGTTTGTACTTCTCACATATTTGTAAGTAACCATCTAAAATTTTTCATCATAAACTAAAATTGTTTCAAGGATGTAATTTCTGGCATATTGAAAACATTCACATTTAAAAATAAAACGGATCACCCTTTGAACGTCCAGAGTGACTTGATACTCACCACTACCCATTTAAAAATAGATAAACTAGCTCCTAACAATTGGGATTATTCCTTTCCTTCTTTCATGACTCTCTTTTCTCCTTGAACACCTATTACCAGTCCACTTCCCCAAAGACAATTTTAGGCTTTTATACTTGAAAATCTTTTATTGACCAATCTATCATACTTCCCTGCATATGCATATATTTTAATTGAGATGAAAAGTATTTTTCTTTCTTGTGACCATAGACCGAAAAGGTTTTTAAAAAATTTCTTCTGTGCTATCATTATAATTATTATGAGAACAGAACTGATTAAATGGCAAAGATTGCACACATTTTTAAACATGGTTAAAAATTAAAAGTACATTTTTAATGAGATAGGAGAGGGGGTGTTTATGGTACCTTGATGAAAGAAATAGGCTATGTGTGTGTGGTTTTTTTTTTAAGGTTTTATTTATTTATTTGAGAGAGTGAGAGGGAAAGTACGAGGCTATTTGTTTGTTTTTTATTTATTTATTTGAGAGAGAGTGAGAGGGAAAGTAAGACCTGGGGGAAGGGGCAGAGGGAAAGGAAGTGGGAGAAGCAGACTTCTCACTGAGCAGGGAGCCTGGATCGTGACCTGAGTCAAAGACAGGCCCTTACTGACTGAGCCACCCAGGCGCCCCACTATGTGTTTCTTTATTTAAGACAAGGTAAGATTTCATGATTGACAACCACAGCCATACCTCGGAGATTTGCAGGTTCAGTTCCAGACACCACAACAAAGCAAATACCGAAATAAAACAAGTCAAAGGAACTTTTTTGGTTTCCCAGTGTTTATAAATGTTTACACTATAGTCTATTAAGTGTGCAATAGCATTATGTCTAAAAAAAAACAATGTACATACCTTTATTTAAAAATACTTTATTGTGGGGCACCTGCATGGCTCAGTCGGTTAAGCATTCGACTCTTGATTTCTATTTAGGTCATGATCTCAGGGTCATGAAATAGAGCCCCACGTTGGGCTCTGTGCTGCGTGTGGAGACTGCTTGGCATTCTCTCTCCCCCTCTCCCTTTGCGCCTCCCCACCCAGTCACACACACACACACACTTTCTCAAAAAATAAAGAATAAAATAAAAATACTTTATTGCTAAAAGATGCCAAGCATCATCTGAGCTTTCAGGGAGTTTTAATCTTTTTGCTGGTGAAGGGTATTTCCTAGATGCTGTTGGCTGCTGACTGATCAGGGTGGTGGTTGCTGAAGGTTGGGATGGCTGTGCCAATTTCTTAAAATAAGACAACAAGGAGGTTTGCCGCATCAATTGACTGTTACTTTCACAAATGACTTTTCTGTAGTTTGCGATGCTGTTTGATAGCATTTTACCCACAGAACTTTCAAAATTAGTCAATCCTCTCAAACCCTGCTGCTAACTTATCAACTAAGTTTATGTAATATTCTAAATCCTTTGTTGTTGGGCGCCTGGGTGGCTCAGTTGGTTAAGTGTCTGCCTTTGGCTCAGGTCATGATCCTGGAGTTCCAGGATGCGAGTCCCACATCGGGCTCCCTGCTCAGCGGGGAGTCTGCTTCTCCCTCTGACCCTACCCCTCTTGTGCTCTCTCTCATTCTCTCTCTCTCCCAAATAAATAAATAAAATCTTAAGAAAAATAAATCCTGTTGTCATTTGAATAATCTTAATAGCATCTTCACCAAGAGATTTCATCTCAAGAAAACACTTTTTTTTTGCTCACCCATAAGAAGAAGCTCCTCATCTGTTGAAGTTTAATCTTGAGATTGCAGTTAGTTCAGTCCCATCTTGAGGTTCCACTTCTGATTCTAGTTCTCTAGCCATTTCTACAACATCTGTGATTACTTCCTCCACTGACGTCTTGAACCCCTCAAAGTTATCCATGAAAGTTGGAATCAGCTTCTTCAAAACTCTTATTAATGTTGATATTTTGACCTTGTCCTATGAATCACGAATGTTCTTAATGGCATCTACGTTGATGAATCCGTTCAAGGTTTTCAATTTACTTCCCCCAGATCCATTAGAAGAATCACTATGTATGCCAGCGACAGCCTTATGATACGTATTCTGAAATAATAAGACTTAAATGTCAGAATTACTCCTTGATCCATGGTCTGCAGAATGGATGCTGTGTTTAGCAGGCATGAAAACAATATTAATCTCATTGTACATCTTCATCAGAGCTCTTGGATGACCAAGTGCATTTTCAATGAGCAGTAACAGAAAGGAATCTTTCTTTCTGAGCAGGACAACTTAATAGTAAACTACATTGTCAAGAGATTTGCTGTCATCCAGCACATCTTTGTTGTTATTTATAGAGCACAGGCAGAGTAGATTTAGCAAAATTCTTAAGGCCTCTAGGATTTTTGGAATGGTGAGCAATGGCTTTAACTTAATGTCCCCAGCTGCATTAGCCCTTAACAAGAGAGTAAGCCTATCATTTGAGGCTTTGAGGCCAGGCACTGACTTCTCTCTAGCTATGAAAGTCCTAGATAGTATCTTCTTCCAATATAAGACTGTTTCATCTACACTGAAAATCTGTTGTTTAGTGTAGTCACTTTCCTTAATTATCTCAGCTAGATCTTCTAGATAACTTGCTATATCTTCTACATCAGCACCTGCTGTTTCACCTTGCACTTTTATGTTATAAAGATGGCTTCTTTCTTTATACCTCATGAATCAACCACTGTAAGTCTCAAAATTTTCTTCTGAAGCTTCCTCACCTCTCTCAGCCTTCACAGAATTAAAGACAGTTAGGGTCTCTGAGAGTTTGGCTGTGGCTTAAGGGAATGTTGTGGCTGGTTTGATCTTCTATCCAGACCACTCAAGCTTCCTCCATATCAACAATAAGGCTGTTTTTCTTAACATTCATGTATTCATTGGAGAGGCACTTTTAATTTCCTTCAAGAACTTTTCCTTTGGGGGCGCCTGGGTGGCTCAGTCGGTTAAGCGACTGCCTTCGGCTCAGGTCATGATCCTGGAGTCCTAGGATTGAGTCCCACATCGGGCTCCTAGCTCAGCGGCGAGCCTGCTTCTCCCTCTGACCCTCCCCCCTCTCATACTCTCTCTATCTCATTCTCTCTCTCAAATAAATAAATAAAATCTTTAAAAAAAAAGAAGAACTTTTCCTTTGCATTCACAGCCTGACTGCTTGGCACGAGAGGCCTAGCTTTCAGCCTATCTCAGCTTTCACCATGCCTTCCTCACTAAGTTTAATCATTTCTAGCTTTTGATTTAAAGCGAGAGACAGGTGACCCTTCCTTTCACTTGAACACTTAGAGGCCATTGTAGTTATTAATTGGCCTAATTTCAATATTGTTGTGTCTCAGGGAATAAGGGAGGCTGAGGAGAGGGAGAGAGATGGGGGAACAGCTGGTTGGTGGAACAATAAGAACACACAATATTTATTAAGTTCACTGTCTTATATGGGTGTCATTTGTGGTATCCCAAAACAGTGACAATAATAACATCAAAAACCACTGATCACAGATCACCATAACAAATATAAAAATAATGAAAAAATTTGAAATATTGCAGTACTTACCAAAACGTGACACAGAGACACAAAATGAGCAAATGCCGTTAGAAAAATAGTGCCAATAGGGGCACCTGGCTGGCTTAGTCCCTAGAGCACACAACTTTTGATCTTGGGGGTTGTAAGTTTGAGCCCCACGTTGGATGTAGAGATTACTTAAAAATAATTTTTTTTTAAAAAAAGAGAAATGCTGCTGAAAGATTTGCTCAATGCAAACCTTCAATTTATGTAAAAAAAAAAAAAGCCCACAATATCTGTGAAGCACAATAAAATGAGGTACATCTGCGTACTTTTTTTTTTTTTTTAAGAAGGAGAAAGTCTATTATAAAAGGAAACAGGAAGAAGGAGAACCTCTACTGCAGGCATTTACTCAGTAAGACCAATTTTGCGAAAGTTGAGCATCTGGAAATTAAATTCCTCTATCTCCTAAGTCTGAGTACTCTCTTGGAGAGTTTTCATGTTCCCTAATTTGAAGACTATAGGTTTAGACACGGTGTGGGATTCTTTAATGGAAGGGAGGGTTTGAGGTTCTGGTACTCTGAGGGCTTAGGGATATAAGGACCTCTGCGGTCCTAGAAAGTGGCAAGATGCTCACCACTTGTGGAATGTGAAAGTTTGCAGGAGACGGGAATCTCTGTGTTAACCGGTCTGACTTCCTCATAAGCTCATATTTGGACCCAGCCTGGCCTCCACTAGTCCTTCCGGCCTTCCTGTAGTTGGGTGAGATGGGGGTGCGGGCGAGGCGGGCGTCAAAATCAGTTTCTTGTCTGTTCGTTCTTTCCTCAGCTCTCCCAGAGGAAGAGGAGACTAGTCGACACCCAAGGTATTTTACAAGTGTCATTTCATCTGACAGCCCTCACAGCGGCAATTTGCACAGATTCTCCTCAAAGCTCCCGCCCCATATCGCCGTCCTAAGTCTCTGGAGCTCCTGGACAAAGCACGGCCTCCAGGTCATCACTGCCCGCACGTCGGGGACCCCCTCCAGAAAAGAACGGACAGCCACCGAGGTCCCACCTGCTTGGTTGGTCATTAGTTCCGTGGAGGCGCTTAAAGAGAAATCAATAAGAATAGCAACAATAATAACACATTTGTATAGCGCATTGTGCTATTTGTATTTATGTGTTATGATTTCACGCTTGGGAGCTGTAGGCACCTGGAAGTGGAAGTAGCTGCTGGACAGCGGCAAGGGAGCGCGCAGCCAGCAGAAGGGAAGGGGCAGGCGCAGTCGATTAAGCCGTGGAAAGGGTACCTGGCAGGTAGGAAAGCAGCGCCGGAAGGCTGGTCAATGGCCCAGCGGAAGGAAGAGGTTTTTTTTTTTTCCCTCTAAAGAGACTCTCGCTCTTCCCTGCACCCCTGCGCAGTCTTGGAGGGCCCAATTCCTTAGCTATCCTGTTCCGTTCCCCCTCCCTTACTTGGAAAGGTGGCTCAGTCCTTCCCGCACGCGACCCGCCGGCGGTTGGGCCGGATGCAGGAAGTTTCTGATTGGCAGAGTCGCAGAAGCACCGGGTGAAAAGAGCTCCGTCGCCGGCGCGCCCGAGCTCGGGCCTAGCCAATACCGTACGGCAAGATGGCGTCCCCCAGGTACTTTGGGACGCCCCGCAGGGGACAAGCCCGCCCTCTACTGGTCACAGGAAAGGGGGCCCCGGACAGTGTGGGCGGCACTGGAGGTGGGGCGGGCTTACCTCCACTTCCGGCTGCGGCCGGGCCGGGCGCCGTACGACAATATGGCCGCGTCTAATTGGCTGTAGGCGGAAACTCTGCGACTTCCGGTCCAGAGAAGGGCCTGCGGTGGGAGGGGGAAGGAAGGCGGAGGGAACCATGCGAGGTTCTGAGATCAGCAGCGAGGGTCGCCTCGAGAGACCGTTTCTGAGGTGGGGGCCGGACCGTGCGGGGAGCGAAGGCGGGGGCGGGAATGTCGAGGGAGAGGTACTGGGGAGTCCCGGACGCTGAGTCTGAGGGGCAAGCTCTGGTACCTTCCTTCCAATCCCTGAAGGGGAGTGGGGCGGCCGGGGGGCTGAACTGGGGGAGGGGGACTTGGCGGGAAGCTCATTCAGGGGAAGGGGTCGGACGCGGGGTTGGGATCTGAGAGGAATCGGGAGAGTTCAGTGCTGGTCTTGCAGTCGGTTACAGGTCACAGAGAAAGAATGGGGGAAATCGGGTGGGGTGAGAGGGAGGGGACTTGGTGAGATCTCTCCAACCTAACGCCCGGGTTTGAGGAGACCCGTCAGAGGGTGGAGTGTGAGGATAATTCAAGGAGGAGAAAGGGGAATGGATTGTTGGGAGGGAACCTCCTTCGCCTCAGAGAGTCTAGGAGTTGGGGGTGATTCTTTAGGATGAGGTGCGGTTGTGGATTTGACGTGTTTGAGAGCGAAAGGGGGAAGGCTCGTGAGGTGGTGCTGACGGGGGTGTGGTGTCTGTGCGAGGGAATGTCGAGGAAATCCAGAGTGCAATGCGGGAGATGGTCCAGGGGTTGGGAGAATCAACTTGGCAAGTATGAGAGATAGTGGGGAAAACGAAAGAGACTGGATAACGACAGGAGGGGTGGAGCTGGGGGTGGGGAACTTAAGGTTTTCAGGTGGTTTGGGGCTCCCGTAGTAAAAGGCCAGAAAAGCGTCTGGTACTAAGAGTTGCTGAAGACAGGCGGTGAGGACACTGTTGGGCAGGGCAGGGTGTTACTGAAGCCCAAGAAGACTGGAAAATGTGTGAGATGAAGGGATGGGCTGTGCTGGAGGGGCTCTTTCTGAGGCCCCATCCCCTTCCAGCAGGAATCCCGAAATCCCCAACACTTCCTCCCTCCGGGGGATTTGATCCCCCATGGCCACCGCTAACAGCATCATCGTGCTGGATGATGATGATGAAGATGAAGCAGCTGCTCAGCCAGGGCCCTCCCACCCACCCCCCAATCCGGCCTCACCCGGGGCAGAAGCCCCTGGCTCCTCCCAGCCCCATGGAGCTGGAGGAAGCAGTAGTTCTGGCGGCAAGAAATGCTACAAGTTGGAGAATGAGAAGCTGTTTGAAGAGGTGAGCTTTAGGGGAGAAGATTCTTGTGCCCCAGGGAGGGGGATGGCTGACTGGCTCTCCTGTCCTTTCTTCCCCACTAACCCCGCCTCGCCTTCTTTCTCTCAACCCCTCCCCTTGTCTCTTTCCCCCTCCCTTCTTCCTCTGAACCCTCTAGTTCCTTGAACTGTGTAAGACGCAGACAGCAGATCACCCTGAGGTGGTCCCATTCCTCTATAACCGGCAGCAGCGTGCCCACTCTCTGTTTTTGGCCTCGGCGGAGTTCTGCAACATCCTCTCTCGGGTCCTATCTCGGGCCCAGAGTCGGCCAGCTAAGCTCTATGTCTACATTAATGAGCTCTGCACTGTTCTCAAGGCCCATTCAGCCAAGAAGAAGCTGAACCTGGCCCCTGCTGCCACCACCTCTAGTGAACCCTCTGGGAATAACCCTCCCACAGACCCCTCCTCGGACCCCACAAATGCCGAGACCACTGCCTCTGAGGCCCCAAGGACCCGTGGTTCCCGGCGGCAGATCCAGCGCTTGGAGCAGCTGCTAGCGCTCTATGTGGCAGAGATCCGGCGGCTGCAGGAAAAGGAGTTGGATCTCTCAGAATTGGATGACCCAGACTCCACATACCTGCAGGAAGCAAGATTGAAGCGTAAGCTGATCCGCCTCTTTGGGCGGCTGTGTGAGCTCAAAGACTGTTCTTCCCTGACGGGCCGTGTCATAGAGCAACGCATCCCCTACCGTGGCACCCGCTATCCAGAAGTTAACAGGCGCATTGAGCGGCTCATCAACAAACCGGGGCCAGATACCTTCCCTGACTATGGAGATGTGCTGCGGGCTGTGGAGAAGGCAGCTGCTCGGCACAGCCTTGGCCTCCCCCGACAGCAGCTCCAGCTCATGGCTCAGGATGCCTTCCGAGATGTGGGCATCAGGTTACAGGAGCGACGCCACCTTGATCTCATCTACAACTTTGGCTGTCACCTCACAGATGACTATAGGCCAGGTAGGGATTAGTGAGATACCTATCGATAACCCTTATATGTCAGATGTTTGGTGGAGAGGGCATCTCTCTAGTCCCGTCTTCTAGGGTTTGGGCTGAGTACTCTGACTTTATGTCTTCCCACGTAGGCATTGATCCTGCATTGTCGGATCCTGCCTTAGCCCGGCGCTTGCGAGAAAACCGGAGCTTGGCTATGAGCCGGCTGGATGAGGTCATCTCCAAATATGCAATGATGCAAGACAAGAGTGAGGAGGGCGAGAGACAGAAGAGAAGAGCTCGGCTTCCTCAAGCTACCTCTTCCCACACTGCAGACCCCCCGAAAGCCTCCTTGGATTCTGGCGAGGTATGGAAGGGATAAACCCTTCAGACAGACCTTGTCTTTCCCCAGCAGGGGATTTCAGGGTCACTGAGGGGGAAGAGTGCAGAAGGAACACAAGAACCAGACCCTCTGGGGCAAGGGATTCCTTAGAGAAACTCCTTTGTCCCCCAGGGCCCTAGTGGAATGGCATCCCAGGAGTGCCCTACCACCTCCAAGCCCGAGACAGATGATGAAGAAGATGAGGAAAGTGATGAGGAAGAGGAAGAAGAGGAAGAGGAGGAAGAAGAGGAGGAAGAGGAAGAAGAAGAAGAGGAGGCCACAGATTCTGAAGAAGAGGAGGATCTCGAACAGATGCAGGAAGGTCAGGGGGATGATGAAGAGGAGGAGGAGGAGGAGGAGGGAGCAGGTATGTCAAGAACAATCCCCTCGTGTGTCAGTTCCCTCTACTCTGTTGGATGTGAACCACCTGTTTGAGACCCTTCCCTTCCTCCTCTTACTCTCAGCAGTATTCTTTCCCTGAGTTCTCATGCTACCTCTCCCCTCTTTTCTTCTTTTCCAGGTCAGGATGGAGACAAGAGCCCCATGTCCCCACCACGGATGTCCACTGAAAATAATCTGGAACCTAGCAAAGGAATCAGCAGGTCTGTGGGGGAGCAGCAAAACAAAGGACTCATGGTGTCACCATCTTCACTGTCAGAAGAGCCCTTGGCCCCCTCCAGCGTAGATGCTGAAAGCAATGGAGAACACCTTGAGGAGTTACCCCTGGAGGAAGAGAGCCCTATGTCTCAGCTCTTTGAGCTAGAGATTGAAGCCTTGCCCTTGGATACCACCCCTTCCCCTGAGGAGAGGGACATTTCCTCTTCTAGGAAGCAATCAGAGGACCCCCTCACCACTGTCTTGGAGAATGGAGCAGCCATGGTCACCTCCACTTCCTTCAATGGAGGTGTCTCTCCTCACACCTGGGGAGATTCCTGTCCCCCCTGCAAGAAGTCTCGGAAGGAGAAGCAAACTGGAGCAGGGCCATTGGGAAACAGGTAACAACAACAACAAGGAGGAGGAGGACGGAGGCCAAGGAGAGATTACAGGGGGCTTTCTGAGAGGAATATTAAGGAACTGGGTCTGCTGGGAGAGATTGTATGCTACCCGTCCAGCCTCAGGCTCTCCATACCCCCTTACATATTTGTGTTTCTGTCCCCAGCTATGTGGAAAGGCAAAGGGCAGTGCATGAGAAGAATGGGAAGAAGATACCTACCCTGTACAGCCCACCTTCTCCCCTGACTTCCATGGCCCCAGTTGCTGATTCCTCGACGAGAGTGGACTCTCCTAGCCATGGCCTGGTGACCAGCTCCCTCTGTAGCCCATCTCCAGCTCGGTTGTCCCAAACCCCCCATTCACAATCCTCCCGGCCTGGTACTTACAAGGTAAGAGGGGGAGGCAGTTTTTCCCTAACTTAATTCTCTTTCATTGCTTAGTTTCAGGTGTTCCATCTGAATATTACACACACCACATCCTCTCTCTTCCTTTTTCCTCACCCCTATTTTTAATCTCTGATAAGTCCTTCCCTCTGCTTCTCCTCCCCTTATATTCCAGACGTCTCTTTCTGACTCTGTCTCTCACTCCCCTGCAGATGAGTGTGGCCACACAGTGCGATCCAGAGGAGATCATCGTGCTCTCAGACTCTGATTAGCCGCCTCTCCTCCCACTCCCAGCCTCCAAAATGTTTTGGGATAGTATTTGGAAGATGGTGGGAAGCTGATGACAGAGGAAGGGATTGACT